GTGTTGGGGTCCCGGTTTTTTGTTATTTTTCCATCACGGTATGTGATTCTCTTCATTCTAGTGAATGAAACATTTTAAGTTTGAGATTTGGAGATTCAGGAGGAGGCCTTACCCCCTCCTGTTGCTGTTGAAATAACAATTAATTTTTAGAATATAGGAGACTTCAGGAGGGGGTCCTTTTCCTCCCCTTTTCTGTGTGAAATAAATATTAAGTTTTTAGATTGTGGAGATTAGAGGAGGTCCTTTTCCTCCTCCCGTTGCTGTTGAATAACATATTAAGTTTGAGATATGTAGGGACTTTAGGGGGAGGGCCCTTTAACCTCCTCCCGTTGCTGGTGAAAATAACATATTAAGTTTGAGATATGTAGGAACTTCAGGAGGGGTTCTTGTCCTCCTTTTGTTGCGTGTGAAGCTTCAAATGTTCTAAGTAATAAAATATTAAAAAAGGAGTGATACTGTTTGCTGAATACAAACCCTCGAGAGGGTACCCAATGTTTTGGGGGGGCCCTTTTTGTTAGTGGGATCCGGGTTGTTGTAATTCCCCTCATTGTTGTCAGGGTAACCTGGGGTGGTTTGATTACCTTTCATTGTTGTCAGGGTATCCTGGGGTGGTTTTTTTGCAGCCTTAATTGTTGTCGTGGTATCAGGGGGTGGTTAAGCATCCTTACATTGTTGTCAGTGATCCTGGGATTTAAGCATACCTTACATTGTTGTCATGGTACCTGGGGGTGGGTTTTAGTATACCTTACATTTTGTCAGTGGATCCCGGGATGGTTGGTATACCTTACATTGTTGTCATGGATCCTGGGGTGGTTGTAGTTCCGTACATTGTTGTCAGTGTATCCGGGTGGTTTTAGTATACCTTTCATTTTTGTCAGTGTACCGGGATGTTGTAGTATACCCTTCATTGTTTTTCAGTGGTATCCTGGGGTGGTGAGTAACCCTTTCATTTTTGTCAGTGGTATCCTGGATTGTTTTTAGTAACCGTACATTGTTTTTCAGTTTTATCCTGTGGTTGAGTAACCTTACATTTTTGCAGTGGTATCCTGGGATGGTTATAGCATACCTTACATTTTTGTCAGGGGTATCCTGGGATGGTTGTAGCTACCTTAATTGTTGTCATGGGATCCGGGGGGTTGTAGTATACCTTAATTGTTTCGTGGGCTGGGTTGTTAAGCATACCTTACAGGTCAGTGGTATCCTGGGATGGTTGTAGATAAACCCGGAGTTTTCCTGGAGAGAGTTTCGGGGGGCAACGCCCCCCCGGCCCGGTCTGTGACCAGGCCCCCTGGTGGATCAGCGTGATCAACCGGGTGTTGCTGCTGGCGCACGAAACCAACTACGGCCACAGCCCGGCTGATCAGGAACGACTTTTGCTTGTCCAGTGCCAGCTTGAAAACTGCAGGGGCTGTTGGGAAACCCCCTTTTTGTTGCTGGGGGGCAGTTGAACAGTCTCGGGGCCCCCGACACTTATTGACGGCTCTTTAACGTTAGTGACACCCCCTTTTCATTGGGGGGGGTCATCGTCTGCCCAAATCTTTTGCTTTGTGTGGGGATTTTCGTGTGCAAGTTCGGTACTGCCCCTAATTTTCCAGGGGTATATAACATGTATCTCTCCCTTGCATTCCAGGGAATACAGGTTTTGAAACCTCAAGCGCCCCATAATTTAGGGTTTTTTTCTCCGTTAGCGCCCGTGAAAATTCTCTGTCATTTTCTAGGTCGCAATTTCACCGCCCTTTAAAGGTGCCCGTTAGAGGCAGCAATTTCCAGCCTAATGAACAAGTACCTGAAGATTGCAAGGGCTTGGCCTCCCCATTTTTTAAGGTTTCATTATCCATCCCGTCATTTTTCTAGCAGATGCGATTGATACAATGTTATGGTCCTTTAAGGTTTGAGATCCTCCGACAAATCACTCCCAGGTCTTTGACGTTGGTGTTTGTCTCATTTCGTGGCCAAAAATTTGTTTTGTACTCTGATGAAGATTTAATTTCCTCATGTTTACCATATCTGAGAAATTGAAATTTCTCATCGTTGAACTTCATATTGTTTTCTGAAAGCCCACTGAAAGATTTGGTTGATGTCCCCTGGAGCCTTGCAGTGTCTGCAAGGGAAACACTGTTCAATGCAGATTCGGGTGTCATCTGCAAAGGAAGACACGGTGCTGTGGCTGACATCCTTGCCCAATGTCGGATATGAGGATGAGGAAAAAGATGGGAGCTAGTACTGTGCCTTGTGGAACAGAGCTTTTCACCGTAGCTCCCTGGGACTTTACTCTGTGACGATACTCTCCTGTGTTCTGTTAGTGAGGAAATTATAGATCCATCGACCGATTTTTCCCTGTTATTCCTTTTAGCGCGCATTTTGTGCGCTATTACGCCATGGTCACACTTGTCGAAGGCTTTTGCAAAGTCTGTATATATTACATCTGCATTCTTTTTTGTCTTCTAGTGCATTTAGGCCCTTGTCGTAGTGACCCAGTAGCTGGACAGACAGGAGCGCCTGTTCTAAACCCATGTTGCCCTGGGTTGTGTAACTGATGGGTTTCTAGATGGGTGGTGATCTTGCTTCTTAGGACCCTTTCAAAGTTTTTATGATATGGGTTTGTTAGTGCTATTGGTCTGTAGTTCTTTGCTTTTGCTTTACTGCCCCTTTGTGGAGTGGGGCTATGTCTGTTGTTTTTAGTAACTGAGGACGACCCCCGTGTCCATGCTCCCTCTCCATAGGATGGAAAGGCTCGTGATAGGGGGTTCTTGCAGTTCTTGATGAACACAGAGTTCCATGTCCCGGCCCTGGGGCAGAGTGCATGGGCATGTCATTTATACGCCTGTTCGAAGTCATTTGGTGTCAGGATAACATCGGATAGGCTTGTGTTAATCAAATTTTGTGGCTCCCCTCATAAAAAATTCATTTTGATCTTCGACTCTCAGTCTGGTTAGCGGCTTGCTAAAAAATGAGTCATATTGGGACTTGAGTAGCTCACTCATTTTTCCCTTGCTGTCATCTGTGTAGGACCCATCTTGTTTAAGTAGGGGCCCAATACTGGGCGTTGTTCTCGATTTTGATTTGGCATAGGAGAAGAAATACTTTGGGTTTCTTTCGATTTCATTTATTTGCTTTAGTTCTTCCCGGGGATTCTGGGCTCCTAAGGATTTTTGCTTAGTTCGATGCTTGCTATTTCTCTGGCCGGGTCTCCCGCGCATTTCAGATATATTGACCCTTTTAGCCGCTCTGTTATCTTTTCATCGCCTGTAAAAAGGAGCGCACGTCTCTTTCTATTTTACATCTACTCCTCCTTTTCTTAGAGAATAAGCCTTTGCATACATCGAGTGCCACCGAGTTAATCGTTCTAGCATAAGTTTGGTTTTGTGTGCTTAGTATATCTTCCCAGCTTTATATCGGTTAGGACTTGGTTTACTTGGTCCCACTTTATGTTTTTGTTATTGAAGTTGAATTTGGTGAATGCTCCCTCGTGACTAGTCTCATTTTGTCGGTCTGGGGCTCCTCGCATACATGTCTGAACCTCAATTATGTTGTGATCTTAGTATATTGTTTTTGATATGGTGACATTTCTTATCAGATCATCATTGTTAGTGAATATGAGGTCTAGTGTATTCTCCAGTCTAGTAGGCTCTATTATTGTCAGTGGTATCCTGGGATGGTTGTAGCATACCTTACATTGTTGTCAGTGGTATCCTGGGATGGTTGTAGCATACCTTACATTGTTGTCAGTGATATCCTGGGATGGTTGTAGCATACCTTACATTGTTGTCAGTGGTATCCTGGAATGGTTGTAGTATACCTTACATTGTTGTCAGTGGTATCCTGGGATGGTTGTAGTATACCTTACATTGTTGTCAGTGGTATCCTGGGATGGTTATAGCATACCTTACATTGTTGTCAGTGGTAACCTGGGATGGTTGTAGTATACCTTACATTGTTGTCAGTGGTATCCGGGATGGTTGTAGTATACCCTTACATTGTTGTCAGGGGTATTTTGGGGATGGTTGTAGTATACCTACATTGTTCAGGGTTTATCCTGGGAGGTTGTATATACCTTACATTGTTGTCAGTGGTATCCTGGGATGGCTGTAGTATACCTTACATTGTTGTCAGTGGTATACTGGGATGGTTGTAATATACCTTACATTGTTGTCAGTGGTATCCTGGGATTGTTGTAGTATTTTCTTAGATTGTTGTCAGTGGTATTCTGGGATGGTTATAGTATATCCTAGATTGTTGTCAGTGGTATCCTAGGATGGTTATGTATACCTAAGATTGTTGTCAGTGGTATCCTGGGATGGTTATGTATACCTAAGATTGTTGTCAGTGGTATCCTGGGATGATTGTAATGTACCTTAGATATTGTAATATACCTTAGATTGTTGTCAGTGGTATCCTGGGATGGTTGTAGTATATCCTAGATTGTTGTCAGTGGTATCCTGGGATGGTTATGTATACCTTAGATTGTTATCAGTGGTATCCTGGGATGATTGTAATGTACCTTAGATATTGTAATATACCTTAGATTGTTGTCAGTGGTATCCTGGGATAGTTGTAATATATCCTAGTTTGTTGTCAGTGGTATCCTGGGATGGTTATGTATACCTTTGATTATTGTCAATGGTATCCTGGGATGATTGTAATGTACCTTAGATTGTTGTCAGTAGTATCCTGAGATCATTGTAGTATTCCTTAGATTGTTGTCAGTGGTATCCTGGGGTTGTTGTAGTATTCCTTAGATTGTAGTTTTCCCGTAGATTGGGTAGTTACCTGTAGTCTCTTTTGGGTGTCACCCCCCAATGCTCAGTCCCAAATGAGGCAGTGCAAAAAAAAAATGATAGAGTTAGGAGTCTTTAGAGAGATGCATTAGCAAAGGTGTAGAATGATGTTGGTACACTGTACACAATTCTATGTGTGACACTGTATATAATTCTGTGTGTGATACTGTACATAATTCTGTGTGTGATACTGTACATAATTCCGTGTGTGTGCCTCAACAGAGTCAATGGAGATTGACAGTCCGGTAGAAGAAGACGAGTCAAACGTAACACTGAAGGATGAGCCGCTGGACGAGGACGACGACCTTCTAGGGGAGGAACTCCGGCCAGAAGACCAGGGCATTAGGCCAGATGACCCTGAGTTTAATCCAGCATATGACAATGTGTGGATGATGGGGAAAGCTAGGGCGAGAGGCCGGGGCAGGTACATAGATGTGTTGTAAATACAGGTTACTGTAGGGCCCCACTTATACAGCAGGTTAGGTTCTGGGCTACTGTAGGGCCCCACTTATACAGCAGGTTAGGTTCTGGGCTACTGTAGTGCCCCACTTATACAGCAGGTTTTGGTTTGGGCTACTGTAGGGCCCCCACTTATACAGCAGGTTAGGTTCTGGGCTACTGTAGGCCCCACTTATACAGCAGGTTAGGTTCTGGGCTACTGTAGGGCCCCACTTATACAGCAGGTTAGGTTCTGGGGTAAATGTAGGGCCCCACTTATACAGCAGGGTTTTGGTTCTGGGCTACTGTAGGGCCCCACTTATACAGCAGGTTAGGTTCTGGGCTACTGTAGGGCCCCACTTATACAGCAGGTTAGGTTCTGGGGTACTGTAGGCCCCACTTATAAAAGCAGGTAGGTTCTGGGCTACTGTAGGGGCCCCCCTTATACAGCAGGTTTTGGTTCTGGGCTACTGTAGGGCCCCACTTATAAAAAACAGGTTAGGTTCTGGGCTACTGTAGGGCCCCACTTATACAGCAGGGTTTGGTTCTGGGCTACTGTAGGGCCCCACTTATACAGCAGGTTAGGTTCTGGACCTTACTGTAGGGCCCCACTTATACAGCAGGTTAGGTTCTGGGCTACTGTAGGGGCCCCACTTTAAACAGCAGGTTAGGTTCTGGCTACTGTAGGGCCCCACTATATCAGCAGGTTAGGTTCTGGGCTACTGTAGGGCCCCATTATACAGCAGGTTAGGTTTTGGGCTACTGAGGGCCCCACTTATACAGCAGGTTAGGTTCTGGCTACTGTAGGGCCCCACTTATACAGCAGGTTAGGTTCTGGGCTACTGTAGGGCCCACTTAACGCAGGTTTTGGTTCTGGGCTACTGTAGGGGCCCCACTTTATACAGCAGGTAGGGTTCCCGGGCAACTGTAGGGCCCCACTTATACAGCAGGTTAGGTTCTGGACTACTGTAGGCCCCACTTATGCAGCAGGTTAGGTTCTGGGCTAAAATGTAGGCCCCACTTATACAGCAGGTTAGGTTTTTGGGCTACTGTAGGGCCCCACTTTATACAGCAGGTTAGGTTTTTGGGCTACTGTAGGGCCCCACTTTATACAGCGGTAGGTTTGGGCTACTGTAGGGGGGCCCCACTTATACAGAGGTTAGGTTCTGGGACTGTAGGCCCACTTAACAGCGGTTTAGGTTCTGGGCTACTGTAGGGCCCCACTTAAAACAGCAGGTTAGTTCTGGGCTACTGTAGGGCCCACTTATACAGCAGGTTAGGGTTTTGGGCTACTGTAGGGCCCCACTTATACAAGCAGGTTAGGGTTTTGGCTACTGTAGGGGCCCCCCTTAACAGCAAAGGTTAGGTTCTGGGCTACTGTAGGGGCCCCACTTATACAGCAGGTTAGGTTTCTGGCTACTGTAGGCCCCACTTATACAGCAGGTTAGGTTCTGGGCACTGTAGGGCCCCACTTATACAGCAGGTTTTGGTTCTGGGCTACTGTAGGGCCCCACTTATCAGCAGGTTAGGTTCTGGACTAAATGTAGGGCCCCACTTATACAGCAGGTTAGGTTCTGGGGCTACTGTAAGGGCCCCACTTATACAGCAGTTAGGTTCTGGCTACTGAGGGCCCCACTTATACAGCAGGTTAGGTTCTGGACTACTGTAGGCCCCACTTAAAATAGCAGGTTAGGTTCTGGGCTACTGTAAAGGGGGGCCCCACTTATACAGCAGGGTTTGGTTCTGGCTACTGTAGGGCCCCACTTATACAGCAGGTTAGGTTCTGGGCTACTGTAGGGCCCCACTTATACAGCAGTTTAGGTTCTGGGCTTCGTAGGACCCCCCCTTATACAGCAGGTTAGGTTCTGGACTACTGTAGGGCCCCAATTTTATACACAGGTTTGGTTCTGGGCTACTGTAGGCCCCACTTATACAGCAGGGTTTGGTTCTGGACTACGTAGCCCCACTTATAGCAACAGTTAGTTCTGGACTACTGGGAGGGCCCCACTTTTACAGCAGGTTAGGGGTTCTGGACTACTTAGGCCCCACTTATACACAGGTTAGGGTTTTGGACTACTGTAGGGCCCCACTTATACAGCAAGTTAGGTCTGGAAATACTGTAGGGCCCCACTTAAACAGTTTTGGTTCTGGGACTACTGAGGGCCCCACTTTTACAGCAGGTTAGGTTCTGGACTACTGTAGGCCCCACTTATAACAGCAGGTTAGGTTCTGGACACTGTAGGGCCCCACTTATACAGCAGGTTAAGGGTTTTGGACTACTGTAAAGGGCCCCCCCTTATACAGCAGGTTAGGTTCTGGGCTACTGTAGGGCCCCACTTATACAGCAGGTAGGTTCTGGACTACTGTAGGGCCCCACTTATACAGCAGTTAGGTTCTGGACTACTGTAGGGCCCCCCCTTATACAGCAGGTTAGGTTCTGGACTACTGTAGGGCCCCACTTATACAGCAGGTTGTTGTTCTGGACTACTGATAGGGCCCCCAATTAACAGCAGTTAGGTTCTGGACTACTGTAGGGCCCCATTATACAGCAGGTTAGGGTTTTGGACTACTGTAGGGCCCCACTTATACAGCAGGTTAGGTTCTGGACTACTGTAGGGCCCCACCCTTAAAACAGCAGGTTAGGTTCTGGACTACTGTAGGCCCCACTTATACAGCAGGTTAGGTTCTGGACTACTGTAGGGGCCCCCCTTATATAGCAGTTAGGTTCTGGCTACTGTAGGGCCCCACTTAAAAAGCAGGGTTTGGTTCTGGGCTACTGTAGGGCCCCACTTATACAGCAGGTTAGGTTCTGGGCTGCTGTAGGGCCCCACTTATACAGCAGGTTAGGTTCTGGGCTACTGTAGGGCCCCACTTATACAGCAGGTTAGGTTCTGGACTACTGTAGGGCCCCACTTATACAGCAGGTTAGGTTCTGGGCTACTGTAGGGCCCCACTTATACAGCAGGTTAGGTTCTGGGCTACTGTAGGGCCCCACTTAACACAGGTTAGGTTCTGGACTACTGAGGCCCCACTTATACAGCAGGTTAGGTTCTGGGACTACTGTAGGGCCCCACTTATACAGCAAATTAGGTTCTGGACTACTGTAGGGCCCCACTTTATACAGCAGGGTTAGGTTTCTGGGCTACTGTAGGGCCCCACTTATATAGCAGGGTTTGGTTCTGGACTACTGTAGGGCCCCACTTATACAGCAGGTTAGGTTCTGGACTACTGTAGGGCCCCACTTATACAGCAGGTTAGGTTCTGGACTACTGTAGGGCCCCACTTATACAGCAGGTTAGGTTCTGGACTACTGTAGGCCCCACTTATACACCAGGTTAGGTTCTGGACTACTGTAGGGCCCCACTTATACAGCAGGTTAGGTTCTGGACTACTGTAGGGCCCCACTTATACAGCAGGTTAGGTTCTGGACTACTGTAGGGCCCCACTTATACAGCAGGTTAGGTTCTGGGCTACTGTAGTTCCCCACTTATACAGCAGGTTAGGTTCTGGACTACTGTAGGGCCCCACTTATACAGCAGGTTAGGTTCTGGACTACTGTAGGCCCCACTTATACAGCAGGTTAGGTTCTGGACTACTGTAGGCCCCACTTAACAGCAGGTTAGGTTCTGGACTACTGTAGGCCCCATTATACAGCAGTTAGTTCGGGCTAAATGTAGGGCCCCACTTATACAGCAGGTTAGGTTCTGGGCTACTGTAGGGCCCCACTTATACAGCAGGTTAGGTTCTGGGCTACTGCTGTAAAGCTAAAATTGCTGTAAAATGAAAAATAGCCTTTTTTACACTTTCATATGCATATAACACCCTGATAACACATTCACTCTATCATATATTGAGTAAAAAAAATGCAAAATACATACAACACATTATCCTTAATTATCCATAGCAATATGAGTGGTCAAATTTTATTTATTATAGGGAAATCTGAAAAAGTAGAAGGGTATACAGCCTCTCCTCACTTAAACAACGGAGTTTCAGTTCCTAAGACTACATCGTAAATGAATCGTTGCAATGAGAGCAAATAAAATGGTATGGTTTGTGTCAACCATCTTTCAATTGTTTTAAAAGTCCCTTTGCCTATTATAACATTTCTGGTATAATTTTTAAATCTTTACAGTATGTACCGCATACTGAAAATAAAATAGTGGAATCAGCCCTGTATACTTCTTTAGTATGTACTGTCAAAGAGCCCATCGTAGGGCCGATCATCAGTAAACGATATTCCTAAGTAGGACAGGCTGTAAAATTTAAAACTGCTGCATATAGTGAAACACTGTAAATGAGAAACCCTCTAAAGTGGAACCCAATGAACATTGGGCCCTCCTGTATTTTTAATGTTTATTGTGGTATCCATGAAGAAAGGGGGGTGGGGTCCATCCTAAAAGGTGGGAAAAGAGGGTAAAGGAGCTTGGTTGCAAGGGGCTTGGACATACAAAAGCATGTGTGAGTTAGTTAGATAGGAGTAAAATGAGGCAAAGGTTTTTGGACCTGAAAGCGATGGATATGAGCAGGGTTAATTTTTTTTGGAAGGATTCAGGGAAATGGTTAGCTTGACTGATCTGGAGTGGGAAAACAGTGCCTGCCTCGATTGAGGGGTTTGGGATATTTGCTGTTTTTATGAATCTAAACTGCGTACTGCTCCCCTCTGGCAAAACAGGATAGTGTAAATATGGTTGAAAGCGTTCCTTTTCGCACTCACTCGCAGTGGGAGATGGCCAATGTGATATAAAAAATCTGTAAGTTGCGTGTACAGCGCTATGCAGTGGACCCCCAGTTAACGACATCAATCCGTTCCAGAGAGCATGTCTTATACTGAATCTGTTTTAATCCGAATTAATTTTCCCCATAAGAAATAATGGAAATCCAATTAATCCGTTCCAGGCACCCAAAAGTATTAAAATAATTTTTTTACATGAAATATACATTTCCCTACACATAAAACAATGAGACATGCAGAATAAACAATACTAAAATGACACTTTC